GCGTGGGTGGAGCCCCAATAAGCCCGAAGATGCTCAGCCTCTGATTTCTTGCAGGTCTACGAATAATGACTATGCACGGAGGACGTGCATTTAAAAATTTACCTATTTCAGTAAATTTGTGTGAACCGAAAAAGTGACGCACTAGACATTGGCTGTGAGTTGTGTGCTTGTTGATTACTTTACGTGATGGCACGCAAGGGTAAATGCTTTGCTCTGGACTGCAAGTCGCTGCCAACGGAAGCAACACACCAAGTGCGACTGCGATGTTGTCGGATACAGAAAGCCACCAAAACACTAAAATAACATGTACCGGTATCGGAGCCCAGACGTAGTTAACCTCTGTCTGTGAGGCTGGACTTTGTTCGAGAGCAAAGGCTGGTTGGTATTAGTACCTGTATCAACAAGGTCGCCTTCTGTAGCCAACCGAGTGGATGTATCGAGGATTTGATCTTTTGTGGCCTTCGTCGCAGCATGAGATAGTCCGTGGCTTTCCAACTGTACTCTCTAGTAGCTCGGCCTCATCCTCAGCCCTGTGAATTACGGCTTGTAACGCACGATTGTGGGGAACTTCCACGCAATCGAATACACACGGAGGTGATCCCATAACCACAAACTTGCCATTTGATGACGTCAGTCTGCATTATACTAGCAGTGTCTTGTCTTTGAGCGAATTCACTTGCCAACTTGGCACTGCCAGTTCTGCTGTAAACTGTACAACATGACAATCAAACATTCGTTCTATTGAATTGCTTAGAGCTCACAGTAAACATGCTTGTACGCGTTGTGGACCGGCGCATCCGAATAGCCACGTTGTGTTTTCCGCAGATGGGGTCCTTAGCATATGCACCAAGTTGAGACACCCACTTCAAACGTTTATTCCTCCCAGCTCCGCAGTATTCGGCTGAAAGCGGGCCTCACTCTTCAAATTTCCTACTGCACATCGCAGTACCTCGACGAGGTGTTCACTCAGTACAATGCTTCAGTCCTGGTTTGCCGCCGTTTGCTCTGCGGCAGTACTAGCATCAGCGGTTACTGCTGGTGACGCCTACGATGCTCAAGCTCAGGCCATCGTCGATGGCTTCTCCGCGGATCAACTATTGGGGCAAATGACTCAGCTTACCCTCGCTACCGTCATGAATGGTACTACACGAACGCTGAACGAAACCGCGGTGCGTTCGTTCGCCAAGCAGCACGTCGGATCGTACCTCAACACGTACTGGGACGGACCAGTCAATGGAAGCTACGGCTACAACGCCTCCGAGTTCCGCTCTATCATCCAGCGTATCCAGGAGATCTCCATGGAGGAGAACGGAGGCCACCCCATCATCTACGGTATTGACTCCGTTCATGGCGCCAACTACGTCGACGGTTCTGTGCTGATGCCTCAGCAGATCAACAGCGGAGCTAGTTTCAACCCCGACCTGGTCTACGAGGTGGCTCGTATCACTGCTCGCGACACTGAGGCCGCTGGAATCAGTTGGGTGTTTGGTCCCATCTTGGATATCTCCCAAAACACGCTTTGGGCCCGCACATACGAGACGTTCGGTGAAGACCCGTATTTGGCATCTGTCATGGGCGCTGCTCTCGTCCGCGGACTGCAGAGCTACAACCAGACAGCTGCATGCATCAAGCACTTCATCGGATATTCCAAGACGCCCACGGGTCATGACAGAGACAACGTGAACATGCCGGACTTCGACCTGCTAAACTACTTCCTGCCACCGTTCAAAGCTGCCTTCGAGGCGGGTGCGCT